GACCACGCAGCGCACTCCTCCAGAGTGTGCTGCGCGGTATCCTCACCAGCGCCGCACCCATGGCACGACGAAACACCCGTGTCCGGTCAGCACCTGTGTCAGTCGGAAGGTCAGCGCTCCATGGCGCCTTCCACACCAGTCCAGGAGCTATGGGCGTATGGCCTGTATCGTGCGGACGCCATATTCGGCGTCCGATAGGCCAGCAGCCCACAGCTCCATCGTCGTCCTCTTCATCTCCGCCCGGACGCGGGCGATCTCCTCAGGGGCGCCTTTCAGTTCCCTAAGCGGACTAGCTTTTACCCGCGAAATCCGCGTGGAATTATAAAATAACAGTAAGTCTTCTTGTTCTTTCTCTGTATTTAATAAATGTATTTACAATTTTTATACAACTATTGTAGACAGACGGAAAAAAAATCGCAAGATATTTGTCTGTTATTAACATACACACGACATCTACAAAAACATCATTTACGCTGGTATATAGAATATTCTATTAGCACCTATTCTAATCGAAAACATGAAGGAAACCGTATTATCTCTATTTTTTCGAAGCAAATGAAAGAGATAACATGTTTTTGTACCGGTATCATGAATAAGTACTGTCGAATAGATTTACCTGCTTGACCACTTTGTATGACAAGACACGGGTTCTCTTTAGTATGCAACTGTGCCTTCAACGTGACGCCGGCCGGTCTGTGAATATTTGAGTAAACAATTCTCTGTGTGATAATGTGGAGTTCAGGAGAGAATATTGATAATGTTTATAGGTAAGTTATTTTTTTAACTTATTTACCGTACGTAAGTCAGTCATAGTTATAAAGTTTATTCTCTATCGTTATAATTTATGCTTATCATTTTTTAAATCATATAAAAAATAAATATCCACTTTAATATTCAAAATGGAACGAAAAGTTTTCAAGTTTTCATGGACACTGTAACGTTATTTGATAACTACCTTTCGCCCGCGACAATATTTGCGTAGAATTAAAAACTAAAGTAACTAATCTTAATCACTGATACAATGCTGTAATAGTAGCTATTAATGTAAAATAAAAAAAATAATAGTATAATGTCCTTCCAGACTATCCTTCCCTTAGTGTATATTTAGCGAGAGAATTATATTCATGGGACTTCTTAATTTTTAAGGTCTGATATATACATACATATTTTGTAACTGGTCTTATAGTAAAAGAAATGAATTAACTCAACGGTTATTTTCAAGAAACTGGGTAATAACTTCACAAAAATAATAATCTTGCTGTCATTGTTTAGTTCTTAGAAATTGAAAATACTCGATACTATTATTTTACGCTTTTATGTTACTGTTTCTGTGTCTATCCGCACTGTTTGTCATTTTTAATAAATTAATGAATCGATAACTTTACGAATACTTTCCAGTACATCAATATAACAAACAAAACACGCAAATGACCCTTACTCTTCCCGAACAAAGTTTATCTCTACAATTTAGGTTTGAAACACTTTAAGTTATACGTAAGAGATCCCGGGATATTGTCCAGTTTTTGATGTTAGATAATTTAAAAAGTTATAAAAATGTTTAGTGTTTTTCGTCGTTATTGTTCAAATATTGCTGAAAACTTTTGTACGAAATGCATAAGGTAATTTTTTTAATACGTTTATCACGTCAAAAATATATGGTGAAATATAAAGTGCGAGGTAAGAGACAAACATGAATACATGCAATAGCTAATTCAGTAATGTACTAATATTATCTAGTATCTCTTCTTTATATCAATTACCTACACGCGATTGTTTGTGTATTTAATCTATACTGATCATGACTGCCTACTTTTTAGGGCGCGCGCACAACTGTGACTAAACTGTCGCACAACTGTTTACCTCGCTTTGATTCCTTTTAGCTTATATGGCGGTGCGCAGATTACTTAATTTTTAGTTCTGCAACTAAACAGTTGAATGGATTGCAAATCAATCGCACAACTGTGCTATAATTTAGTCAATGGTGTGCGCTCTGATTGTACTATGATAGACCACGGAAGGCTCGGAAAAAATTGCTTCAGCATCCGGTTATAACCAGAATTCATGTACTACGTCTAGGACCGTAAAGTTTTGATAACAGTTTAACGTAAAATTACAAGTATACTGGTTTTTACTGCTTTTTTATCAGAGTTCGCTAAGTTTAACAAAAAAGGTCATATTTAGTTGTCCCTAATTTTCGCAAGCGGATAATTAAAATTGATTAACGACACAACAGTATGGGGATGGTTAAGGAGCAAATAAGACTGGTAGTTTTGTTAAGACACAAAGTAGAGCTATCGATAGGTTACAAATAACTACATGAGGGGTATCTTTAATATTGGTTATAAGTGGAACAGGCATTTGTTAGTATTAGGCTCCAATAATTTCATGCAGACATTAAAAAGTCGCATAAAATATTATGGACATTTAAACTATGAGGTATTAAAACTATTTTTTTGTGGAAACTATAACAGCGTTTTCGAAATTCTCTTATAAAGGATCTAATATAGATTTTGAGAAGATACAAGTAGCTTTTACTTGTAACTTATTTTTGCTAGTTTTAAAGAGTTTAAAGTATTTGCGATTGACAAATAATATAAATCGATTATATTGTCTATAAATATATTGCTTACTTTACGAGGTATTGTATCATCTGGCTGAGGTTATCTCAGTTCGAGGTGATGCTCCCTAGCTCTTTATAAATGTATTCAGTTTAATCTTGAAGTTCTTGCAAAGTGAGCTAGGAGAATATTTCATTACGCTTGTAGGATGGTGGCAAAAGTGATTTCGGGAACCGAAATAGCTCGGTATGCTTTTAACAACTTTATTTTACATTCATTTGTTTTTATAAAGTTGTTTTTGTTTATTAAAAAAAATTGTGTAATTGAATGACATTTTCGTAATGTTAGTTTTCGGCGGGTTGTCTTTTTCCTCCTTTTTGAAGTCGGTTCAAAACTACCCACACAATTATTTTTACTCTGTCATTTTAGAGAGAGTAACGTGATTTTTATATGAATTGAAAATTGCAATATATTAGAGGAAAATAACGTTATAGAAAAACGAATTTTAAACGAGTAAAGAAAACAATATACCTGAGTAATTATCGATAAAGTAATTGTAGTTGAATACAAAGTTTCTTTGGTTTCGGGTATAACTGATCAATTTTTAATTCAGGGCGATCGAAGATGACCTACGTCAACAAGTGTCGGAGCTCCGAGCCAAGTCTTCGGGTGCGCAGCCGCGGCTGGCCATCGTGCAGGTCGGCGGCCGTGAAGACTCCAACGTATACATTCGAATGAAACTGAGAGCTGCTGAGAATATTGGCATCTTAACTGACTATATCCGACTGCCGAGAGACTACACGCAAACTGATGTAAGAAGTCGATATTTAATTAGTTTTACTTTTTATTTTACACTAGCTGTTGCTCGCGACTTCGCCCACGTAGAATTAGAAAGAATATTTAAAAAATATAGCCTATGTTACTCACTGATAACGTGGCTTTTTAATGGTGTAAGAATTTTTGAAATAGGCCCATCAGTTTTTGAGTTATTTCAATACATACAAAAATACAAAACTTTCCTCTTTATAACATTAGTATAGATAACAACTAGCTGTTGCTCGCGACTTCGCCTTCGTGAAAATAAATAATAATATAAATATAGACTATGTAACTCACTGATAACGTAGCTTTTTAATGGTAAAAGAATTTTTGAAATCGGTCCAGTAGTTTTTGAGTTATTTCGATATATACAACAATACAAATCTTTCCTCTATCATATCAGCATAGAAAGACTTTTCTAATACCACCACCACTGGTAGATATAAATTGCTATCCATGGTCTTAAAACTATGATGCTTACTGCGTTTTCAAGTTTTGAAGTATACCAACAAATCTCATAAATATTTTGTCCATAATACATATGTATTTCGAATACATTTTCGCATCTGTTAAGCAAATATCGTGTAAACACTCAAGTACTTCAGACTTCGAGATAAATGGTTTTATTATAACGCAAAAACGTACATACGTCTGTTTTGTTCCATAATTATATATCAAGCCTACTACAGTTCAGGGTCAGACGCGATTATAACTCGAATTTGATAACAGCAAATAACAGAATATTGTTTTCTCAATTATCAACATACCTACATATCTTTTGTACTGACAATTGCTTTATAACTTGTAATTTATACTTTTGTGCTTCTCTACAAGGCTATTTAATATCGATCCAAATTATTCTACATAAACTATCTACTTTTTCTCGATGACTTTATTTTTTAATAAACAATTTCTCGTCTTATCACTCCTCCAGTTACAGTATAATAACATTCGTTTTATTCAGTTATCCTCGCTCTTTGAACTGCGACTGCAATCTGATATGATGCAACTATTATTTAACAACTTGTTTACTGGTTTGTATTGAGTAGAAAATATTGTAATCAAATATGTTTAGTAAATAATGCATCAAGCAAATCATCAAAATTTTACCTATTTCTATATTTGACAAGACTTTTATGCTCTCGAATTTGTAAGACTCGACTGAGAACCTTTCTGTAACGAGTATTTCTTAATTTTTACGTTTGAAATATATCCTCATGTAGGTTAGTAAGGGACCTTAATAGAGGCAATGGTTTCCGAACCTACATGACTGTCTTTTTTAGGTTTCGCTCACGACTGCGTGAAATTAAAAAAAGTACTTAGCTTATGTGTTCTTCCAGTCTATTTTCTAAATTTATTCCAAATTTAATCGAAATCTATCTATCTAAAATTTAGAATTTATATTATTTTACCTTTAAATAAGTTATCTTTTGTTATATTTAAAGTTGCTGACGAAGATAACAGCCCTGAACGAGTCCCCACTGGTGCACGGAATTATCGTTCAGATGCCGCTGGACTCTAAACACCAAATCGACGCACATCTCATCACTGACGCTGTCTCCTCGCACAAAGATGTCGACGGGTAATGTGATGATTTATCACCTTCAAGTATCCCAAACTACGACTTTATTGAATTCCTTTCTTCCTTCCCCTCCAGTTTGAACACCGAGAACGAGGGTCGTGTAGCGATCGGCGACTTCTCTGGCTTCCTGCCGTGTACTCCAGCGGGCTGTATTGAGTTGATCAAGCGCACTGGCATTAGTATAGCTGGCAAGCGCGCGGTGGTTCTGGGCCGCAGCCGTATAGTCGGCACGCCAGTCGCCGAACTCCTCAAATGGGAAAATGCGACTGTTACCGTCTGCCACTCCAAGACTAACGACTTGAGCGAGATCGTAAGTCTATAATCACCAAGGAAACAGTATAGATTATTCATTGTTATTTTTTAAACCTGTGTTTTCTAAATACGATCATCACATACTTTTATTCGTTGTAGACAAAGACCGCTGATATCTTAGTGGTAGCTATCGGCAGGCCTGAGATGGTTCGTGGGTCTTGGATAAAACCTGGAGCGGTTGTAATTGATTGCGGAATTAATCCTATACCAGGTAATGTTACTATATCACATTCTCCACCTCACCGTGAGGCGCCGCTGCGGAAACAGTCATCTCTCTTATTCAAGCGTGTAAAAAAGAGACAACTATATCTTCTTGTGTGTTTCCGCAGTGGAAACTCACGACACATGGCTGTTTATAAACATTATCCAACGTTTTCTACACACTTTGCTTCTCATAACACTTCAATAAACGTATCGTACTTTGGTGCACGTCGATTATGCCCTTCTGTGAATTCACCTTCTTTATTTTAATATTTGTTTTAAGTTATGATGTATGTAAAATTAATGGATTTTTAAGGATGTGCTTTATTAATTAAGGAGCTGAAGTCAGTGATAGTAAATTAATAGACACCATTTCAAATATCTTTAAAAATCATTGTGTAAAAATATGTTTTCGTGTGACTTCTGCGTAGATGACGGTAAAGTTGTGTTGTAGACGCGTCAAAGAGGAACGGCCAGCGTATAGTCGGCGACGTGGCGTACGCGGAGGCGGTGCAGGTGGCGGGGCACGTGACGCCGGTGCCGGGCGGCGTGGGCCCGCTCACCGTCGCCATGCTGATGCGCAACACCGTGCTGGCCGCGCGCCGCCAGCTGCAGCGCCTGCTGCTGCCCGCCTGGCCGCTGCAGGTGTTGCGCCTCAACCCGCAGACACCGCCGCCCAGGTTGGTTCATCATCTTTCTCCTTATCCTACTTCCGTAGTGTCCGCACAACAGGTTTTTGTCCCACACACCTATCTCAGTCATCACTCCCTTTTTTATCATGTCATTTTCACGCAATACATCCATCTCTTTCTAAGTCTACCTCTACGTTCTCCTTGTAACATGCGATTCATACTCCTCATGACATGGATAAGAATATAGTTCGTGCCAGTAAGCTAGTAGTCGGGTTATTGGAGAATAGGACTTGTAAAGTCACAAGAGTTGACTATCAACGGTTCCTAAAATGGATTTTTTAGTAGGTAAAACCGCTAACCGTTATGATATCATAGTATTTTTCTTGTAGTTATAGGGTCTTTACATATGTACTTAAAGATGAAACCTGTATTTGTTTGTCAGTGACATAGTGATAGCGCGGTCTCAGAAGCCGAAGCACATCGCGCGGCTGGCGGAGGAGATAGGCCTGTTCCCCAGTGAGGTGTCGCAGTACGGCAGCACCAAGGCCAAGATCTCCCTTTCCGTGCTCGACCGCCTGCGCGACCAGCGCGGCGGCAAGTACATCGTTGTCGCAGGGTGTGTAGCAGGATTCCTTACACATTTATACTAATGTTATAAAGAGGAAAGATTTGTATTTTTGTATATATCATATGTGTGTATTGAAATAACTCAAAAACTACTGGGTCGATTTTAGGCTATATTTATTATTTTATTTCCCCGGACGAAGTTGCGACGAACAGCTTGTATAGTAGTTTGGTATTACTCGTCTTCAAGCGAGTTTTTTAAAAATGTGCAGTCGCGAAAGAAACTCACTATTCAAAAGTATTAATAGTTAATCTTTTGATTAGTAATGTAAAACATACATCTTGTTAATAGTTTGAACAGAAATAGAAAACTATAAACGTACACTCAGGTTATTAATGTTATACCGTGTAATTAATTAAGCGTTCCACATTATATAGTAGTCTCTTAGTGGCCCAATGTGACATCCGTAATGGCAAATGCGTTGCCTTCGCTTGACGGAGGAAGATACGGACATAAAGAGGATATTTCCTCATGCGTGTTCTACACCGTCAAATCCACTTTCTCTTCCCATTCTTTCTTAATATACAAGTATGTGAAGGGAAAGGGATTAAAATTAAACGCCATCAAACTCAACAAACGAATTGCTTTTATTTCACGCCTGTATGTGTGGTCGTGGAATTACACCAGGCGAGCCCTATCTTGCGAAAATGTTAAAGCGGGCTCTACCACTGTAGACACCAAATAATAAGCATTTAACGCTATACATGGTGTGGTATGGTAATCGTATGTTTCCGCGGTGCAGTATAACGCCGACGCCGCTGGGCGAGGGCAAGAGCACGACGCTGCTGGGCCTGGTGCAGGCGCTGTGCGCGCACCGCGGCCGCAACGCCTTCGCCTGCATGCGACAGCCCAGCCAGGGTCCCACCTTCGGGGTCAAGGGAGGAGCTGCCGGCGGAGGATACTCACAGGTAATAACTGACGAATAAGTCCACTATTAACATTAACTTGTGAAGCCTTTTTATCGACAACTAAGAGCGGGCGCACACCTTTGACCATATAACCGCACAACTAAAAATCGAATAGTGTGCGCACCACCGTAAAATCTCATAGGAATCAAAGAGAGACTAAACAGATGTGCGATAGTTTAAAGGTCCGCGCGCTCAAACTCTCTATGTCTTTATTTCCACGATATTCAAAGGTCAATGCTAATATTAGAAATTAACTCAATTCAAGTCACCTTATGAATATCGAATAACAAGATCTAAATAAGTAAAATGTATTAGATCGATAGAGAACTTTAACTAGTGATATTTCCAGGTTATCCCCATGGAGGACTTTAACCTCCATCTAACTGGGGACATCCACGCGGTCACCGCGGCCACCAACTTGCTGGCAGCGCAAATGGATGCTAGAATATTCCACGAGCTGACGCAGAAGGACGGGCCGCTGTACGACCGGCTGGTGCCGAAGGTGAAGGGCGTCAGGAAGTTCTCCGCCGTGCAGCTGCGGCGGCTGAAGAGGCTGGGTATAGACAAGACAGACCCCGACTCACTCACAAACGAGGAAAGGACCCAATTCGCCAGACTTAATATTGATACAAACAAGATTATGTGGAGAAGAGGTAAATCACACTTCATACTAATATTATAAATGCGAATATTTGGATGGATGGATGTTTGTTAGAGTTTTTAGCCTAAACTACTGAACGGATCTCGATGAAATTTGGCAAAGACGTAGAACTTAGTCTGGAAGAACACACAGAGGAAATTATGGCTTCCTAGAAAAATATTTAATTGTGTACACATGTTATTATTTATACCGCGACAATGTTACTTTACATTCAAATTTAATAATAAAACTGATGTCATTTTAATTATCTGTATTTTAGTTGTGGACTTGAACGATAGATACCTACGAAAAATAACTATCGGTCAATCGCCGACGGAGAAGGGCTTTACTCGGGAGACTGCGTTCGATATTTCCGTTGCGTCAGAGATAATGGCCATCCTGGCGCTCGGCAAGGACGTGGAAGACATCAAGCAGCGCCTGGCTTCCATGGTGGTCGCACTCGACACCAGCGGGCAACCCGTCACTGCTGATGACCTGGTTAGTGTTCACACCGTTTTATTCCATTACATTTACACTAATATTATAAATGCGAAAGTTTAGATGCCATACGTCATATTTTAGGCACGTGGATAATTATAAAAACACCGTGTAAAAATTATAAAATAAACGCACCCTGGAATTGACGTAATAATCGCACATAAAAATATCCGATGGCATGACTAAGAAAGCATTAAACACTAGTAAAAAATTTTACACACTTTGATGCATAAATGTTTGTCACCCCTGGTATACAACGTGTGGGTATTTCAGGGTATGACTGGCGCGCTGCTGGTGCTGCTGCGGGATGCGCTGGAGCCGACGCTGATGCAGACGCTGGAGGGCACGCCGGTGCTGGTGCACACGGGGCCCTTCGCCAACATCGCGCACGGCTGCTCCTCCATCCTGGCCGACAGGATCGCCATACAGCTCGCCGGGGAGCGCGGCTTCGTCGCCACTGAGGCCGGCTTCGGCTCCGACATCGGTACACCGCCACACCCTGTATTACACACTAGCTGTGCCCATGCGGCTTCATCTGCATGAAATTATAAAAAAAATATATTTTTTTGTTAAAATTTCTGGAATTCTCTAGTGCAAGTATCAACATTAAAATGCACAAAGGACACCGAATATTTTTGACATTGGGTAACGATTACCGATATCATGGCAATCTTGTTTCTTCCCTGTTATTGACTTGTATTTTTGTCCCTTTCCCGAGTGACGGTTTTTCCAATTTTTATACCCCTTTATTATATTTGTATAGATTAGTATAGAAGTATAGATAGATATAGATTGCTTCAAAGTGTAAATCTTACTAAGTTTTTCACGTACAGAAACAATTAAACCTAGCAATTTGTCTTCGGTCAATGATCTTTGCTAGTTCTAGGCATTTACCAAAAATATGGTGTTTGAAATACGAGTACATTTTATATTAACTTCTTTTTATTATAATTATACATTTATGATAGTGATCAAACTTTTATAGCATAGTTACATTGTATAGGAATGGAGAAGTTCTTCGACATAAAGTGTCGCGCGAGCGGGGACACGCCGCACTGCGTGGTGCTGGTGGCGACGGTGCGCGCTCTCAAGATGCACGGCGGCGGCCCGCCCGTCGCGCCCGGCCTGCCGCTGCACCACGACTACGTGCAGGTAACACGCACACACACACTGGAATACTGCGTGGTTCCGGCTCGAAGGACCAACATGTACGGTGCTTCCGCATATACCAATCAAATGAAGACTCAGAGAACATTTTATCTTTTCATGTTATGAGAACACTCTCGAATTGATTTATTATTTTTTTCCCTGACCCCTTGATGGATGTATAATCCTGAAAATTCAGATTTTATGTATGTTTGCATTTGATTTTGTGTCCATTGATCGCGAAAACGTCTTAATTGATTTCAATGCAGTTTTTTCTAATCTCTTCTAATTAGTTTCACTTAATATTTATTGTATTTTTCATTATGATCGATATACAAATAAAAAAAGTTATGTCATTTGATTTTTTAATGTAAGTTAACCTTAATTAATATTACCTGTATAGCCCAGTATGACCATCTTTTTGGGAGTAGCGGCGCCTACTCATTTTTGATACAATTGTAACGGAAATGTAAACTCATAAAAGTTACTGGAATTGTGAATGGATTGAACTTTGATGTATGACAGAAATAAGTGAAACACTAACTAATTGGGACTTATCTTGGATAACTTGGCAGTTGCGGTTTTCCTAGTCACACTTTTTGAGTTTGTGAATCGAACATGAGCAAACCCGGACTTTGCTTTACAATAAGATAAGGTCTAATTATAGATTACATGAACTTTAATTAAATAAAAATAATACGTTTGATATTAAGTATTATAGATTAAGTCATTATCAATACCAGCTCACTATATGTCCCCACTGAGGGGCTCCGAGCCTATCCTATATATGGGGGTGGTGACTGGGCACAAGCAACCACTCTGGCCCACTACGGGTTGGTTGACATCACAATTATCTTTGAATTTCTTCGCCGATATGTGCAGCTTGCATCAAGATGTTTTCCTTCACCTTAAGAACGTCGAGTAAATCATATACATATGAAAATTCGAAAAATCGAAAATCACATTGGTATATAGCGGGATTCAAACCCTAGACCTGTAGGTTACAAGTCAAGTGTCCAAACTCCTGTGCCACCGACTAGATAAGATAGACTAAGCATTTGATGTTTATACAGGAGAACGTAGAACTGCTAAAGAAGGGCCTGTGCAACCTGGGCAAGCACATCAGCAACGGCAACGCGTTCTCGGTGCCAGTCGTCGTCGCCATCAATCGTCACGGGTGAGATGATTAGCATTTTATTAACGTAATACTTAATAGATTAAAGTTTTACATCGTGATGCATTTACAAATGGATATTGGATGGATGTTTTACATTCCCAGTAACGACACCGAAGTGGAGTTGAAGTTGGTGAAGGAGTTTGCGGAGGCGAGCGGCGCCTTCCGCGCGGTGGTGTGCGAGCACTGGGCGCGCGGCGGCGCGGGCGCGCTGGCGCTCGCGGACGCCGTCATCGAAGCCTGCGCCGCCCCTTCGCACTTCTCCTATCTCTACCCGCTCTCCCTCACCATACAGGAGAAAGTGCTTACCATCGCCAAGCAGATGTACGGCGCCGGACAAGTAGAGTACACTGACGAAGTACTGGAGAAGATAAAAGTCTTCACTGCTATGGTTAGTAAAAATTAAAACTAAGTAATTACCTTTTTATAACAGCATCTCTAAACATTACGCTTCAAAAATATACTGTGATTGCTGACGACCAACATGACTACATAAGTCGTATGTTTTTACATTTTATTATAATTGTATAGATTGCTGTTGCTCGCGACTTCGTCAGCGTGAAAGTAAAAAAATAGCTTATGTTGCTTACCGTAGCGTTTAATGGTGCAAATTTTTGAAAACTACCTATTTTTGAATTATTTCAATACATACAAAACTACAAAAAACACAAAACTTTCCTGTTTATAATATTAGTGTGGATTAATATTTGAAATGTGTCCAGGGGTACGACAAGCTGCCGGTCTGCATGGCGAAGACGTCCAACTCGCTGACAGGCGACCCGGCGGTGAAAGGCGCGCCCACTGGCTTCACGTTGCGCGTCACCGACATGTTCGTGTCGGCGGGCGCCGGCTTCGTGGTGCCCGTGTGCGGCGAGATCAGCAAGATGCCCGGCCTGCCCACGCGGCCCAGCATCTACGACATTGACCTCAACACGCGCACCATGGAAATAGAGGGCCTCTTCTAACAGGCTCCTGAACCCTTCATTCGACGGAGTTTTTGGTGACAAAAAATATTAAGGGTCTGTCCCAAAATTCAATTTTAAAATATTTGATGCAAATATCGGACTTTGGTACTCTGTCTGAAAGTGACGTCACTTTTAAGCTATCTGAGCCTCTATCAGCCAATGATGGGACAGGCCCTAATTGTTCCCAACATTTTAAAATCAAAATCTCACGTATTTTTCTCTACACCAATTTAAAACATTTTTTTAATTAGTTGTTCGTCACTAGACACCATTGAATTAAGGGTTAACCTTCAGTTTTAGAATAGTTAAAGTGTCCAGTTAACATTTTATCTGCCACTTTCAATTTATATATTCGCTTTTGCTTTCTTTTATATTATTCAAATGACAATTGACAATGACAATTTTAATCAGACCCCTCACAACCGTACTGTTGGTTTGTCAGCCGATACGAAGCGGTTCAAATTCTTTCAAAGTTCTAGTTTATAATGATATTAAAAAAGACGGCTTGAGGAAACAACTAAATTACAAGTTATTACTGATGGGAAAAGTATTCCCATTGGGCGGTATTCCCGACATTAATTAAAATCAATAGAATTGTCTTTAATCGTATTCTTATATACACTTATATTTAATAAATTTTTATGGGACCAAACAATGTTTTTTTTATAACTATTATTTTTTAAAACTGGTATTGAGACTTTTTATGAATCACAGAGGATTAAAAAATCTTCTTGATAAAAAAACTATAATCAATTTTCATACCGTTTCAACAATACTATGTTTTGTAAGCGACTTCGTATGATCGGAAATAAAAACTTGTGCCTATTTATTTTTTTACAACCTTTATACCAAATTCCATTCAGATCTATGAAATTATTTTATAAATATCAAACACCTTGTGACCTTAAATATTGTAATAAATAAAACATCTCAAATAATACTCAAAAGTGGCTAAAATATTAGTTAATATATTTCCATGAACAGATGCGAGGGCAAATCATGTTAGCTCATCTTTATTTCTAGTTGTTAAGGTTTAAAATTGCGTTTTAATGTGACACAATGGTTGTTATACAAAAATATTTCAGAGGCCATTTAGATAAGAATCAATGGCGTAGTTTTTTTTGCATAACGAATACGATATGACCAAACGATATGTCGAGACAAAATATGCGAATGAAATAAAACAATACTTCAAAAGAAACTAGAAATCATGTAAATGTATTTACAATCTATCTTGGGTTGGCTTCGGGCCCCTCAGTGGGGACGTATGTACTGGCGATGATGTAAATTTAAATATATTGAGGATGTAGTATTGATTTGAAGATTTTCATAGAGAAATTTCACTTTATAGATTTTATTAATATCGTCATACTTCTATATTATTGCTTTGATCGTTAATTTTAAAACATTACATTTCTACAGAGAAACATTAAGTAGAAATATATGTTAAGCTTTGTTTATAATCATCAACTTGCCCTTATTCCTTATGGAGGGTCGACAGTATGTGCTGCTCTTCCATACATCTCTATCAGCCGTCATATCTGAATCCACTCCTTTCTTAAGCATATCTACTTTCACACAATCCATCCATACTTTATTAGGTCTTCCTCTCCCTTTGTAGCCATCCACATTCATTTTTAACACTTTCTGGTTTATGTCCCCATCGTCTCGTCGCATAACTGTCTATACATGTTAAGTTTCCTTTATAATAGCAACATAAATAACATACACGTCACATCGAAATTTATCAATCTAGATATATCTATACTAATATTATAAAGAGACAACATTTTTATTTTTGGATTTTTGTATGTTTTTACGCAAAAACTACTGGGCCGATTCTATAAATTCTTTCACCATTAGAAAAGTAATTTATCTGTGAATAACATAGGCTATATTTTGTTTCATTTTTTTAATTCACGCGGGCGACGTCGCAAGTAAGAGTATAATGGAACAGTAAAGTAAAGGTTATCCGTGGCGCACACTTGGCTAGTATAGTCGGATGTTTGCTCCGGCCACACATGGATTGTATATTACCGTGAGTTACCATTCACACTGTGCCAGTACATTGTCAGTCCAGTTTTCGAGCGCTACTGGCAAATGTGCGAACCGCGCTCAGCTATGACGCGCTAACTGAGGAACATATAAAACTTGTTTCAACCGAAACATTTTCAGTTGATTTGAAACGAAGTCGTGAGATGAACGCTCGCGTTTTATGTCCACGCTCGTATTTTATTACGATTTTTTTCGTATAGTTTTAAAGTACACTCCGTAGATATTTCAAAATGTATTATTTACTGGGATCTGTGTTTATTTTAATGTTTAGTTGTGTTACTTGTGTGAAAGTTGAAGACACGTTGTGTTGTATTCCCGGACTGTATCTATATCAAGATGAAAGCGGTGCTTTCAGCTGCTGGGATTCTGAAATCAAAAATGATACGTACATTGAATACGAGCTAGTTTGCACAAGCGATATAGAATTTGTATCGGAGGATGATAAGACGTCATTTTCTGTCAGAGATGACGGCTATTTACTTGTAAATGTACCAAATGATCAAATCGAGATTAAACCTAAAACGTAAGTTTTTTCTGTATTTAAGTTCCATAATGACTAAAGCAAGGGTCAGGAACTTTTTTTTTCACATACTCTTAAAAAATTACTGGTTTCGGTAGAATTTTTGGTCATCAAAAATCATTAGGGACACAGTTCGTTGGATATCTTAATTTTGTAAGCAATAAATTACATTTTTTTTAGTTTCTGCCTGTCCAACTACACGAAGGATACAAACGAGTCCTCGTTAGCGGCGGCGGTTGTCTCCGTGCTGGCGTGCAGGCCGGTGCCGGATGAGCCGCTCGTCAGCCACAAGGTGTTGGCATATTGCTTGCTGGTGTCAGTCGTCTTCTTATTTCTTACTGCCCTCGTGTATACCGCATTACCGGAGATTAGGTAACGAACCATTTACATTGCCTAAACATACAAAATTTGCCTCTCATTTAAAGTAGAGATAACCGATAGATATGTTTTTATACAAAAATTTAAATATGGTAACTCACGATTACATTTTGATGAATTACATCATAAAAATTGGTGCAAAACTGTATAGTTAGCCATCTCTACTTACGTACAATAATTTGTAAACATTAATCAGTTACTATTGATAAGAGAACAGCTTTTTATTTATTTATTTTAATTAATTACTGACTGCAATGAATTTTGATAAGGATGCCAAAGTTGTTTACATCCACGACTCATGAGAGTAATGTAATTTATATACATAAATTACGCTCTGTACGCGCTCAAGTGGATAGAATATGTTGCAATTAAGTATATAACCGTGGGTTTTTATTGCACGTACAGCATACAAATATTGTCATCAACGTTGTTACTATCCATGAAAAAATTAATATAGTTAACTAGTTTTTTGCACTGACGTCTCGTAAAAGTTTTTTTTTTTTTGTTAATCGATTGATTTTTTCTCAGGGATTTGAACGGGAAGAGTTACATTAACTTCTGCATATCTCTTGCGCTGGGTTTACTTTTCTTGGCAATCGAAAAACTTTTAACTTCTTACGTTGATATGGATCTCTGCGCTACAAGAGGTATTTGTTATGTTATCTACATATCTTATCTTAATTCTTATTAATATTATAATTGCGAAATTTTATTTGGATGGATAGTATGTTAGATTTTGTAGCCTAAGCGACTGAATGGATTTGGATTCAATTCGACATAGATGTAGAGCATAGCCTAGAAGAATACATAGGCTTTTTTTTAATTCCACGCTGACGATGTCGCGGGCAAGAGCTGATAATATAATAAACGAAATATGGTTGATGGTAAAATTATTTATGTGATGTTTTTTTTAAGGTTTTTTGATGTACTTCTTCACCATGGCTAGTTTTTTCTGGAGCAATGCCATCTCCATTCAGATGCTACGTTTTACGAGGTAATTATATTGTCGAGATCTAATTTTAACTATTTTCAAGCAAATGATTAATTATTTATCGGGTTAATAATCGGAAAATGTTGTACGTTAAATATTGAGGTTTTTGATTGAGTTTTCTACATATAGATATATTGGTTGAATAAAATATATCGTGAAATGTTAATACAGCGTCACATTGGTAATTACAGTATTGTAAATAGAAATATGTTTTTTATCGCAATTGATTTAGATAACAAATGATGAAAATCTATGTAAAGATGTTGAATACGTGCTAATTTCAGTGAAAAAAATGCGTAGGAGGAAAATCTAGAGGAAAACTGAGAGAAATTTTGTTTTGAAAAGCGTATGATTATCTTGAGAGATATGATAACCTGGTTTAAGGCTATGTGCGCTAACACTATGCAAACAAAGTCATTAAAAATTAATCGGCAATGACACGCGTTTGCGAATAAAAGTCAAGCAGCGATACAAATTTTCAATATTGGACTTAGCTTATTTAGGAGTCATTTAGACTTGAAGTCTGCGTTATACTAATAGTATGAAACGCGAAATTGGTTTCTATCTGGTCGGGGAGTATCGGTCCAAAAGACATTTTGGTAGCAGCTATTATGAACTCTACAGCTGTTAACCTAAAATTCAAAATGAAATATCAAGACATACGTTATTTGATAGATGTAATCCGTTTTTATGTTATTTCAGACGTCCAATAACAGTAGATTACGGATGGAAGGAGTTTGCCTGGTACGCTTTATACGCGTGGGGATCGAGCTCTGTGCTAACCATAGCCATGGCCATTGTCAACTTTGTGCCGGGTAATCACCAGAAACCTGGTATTGGACTGAGATTCTGCTGGTTTTTTAGTAAGTACTTTTAGATAATATTATAATTGGTAATAATGTAATATAAATAATAATAATAATAATAATAAATATTACTTCGATACTTAGTTTACTGATTCCCGCCAGAAATGTCGCTTCTCCTTAATACTTCTGAATAACATTGACAGATGTCATAGGGATGGGACGTGTATGCCGATGATCTAGTGTTGCGGCGCTTTTCCGGCGTGGTACCGATTTTTTTAACAATTACTTACTAATTATATTAGTATGTTTAATCTAGGAGGTAGGCACAATGCAGATGGAAGAAATCTAGCGTGTAATTTCAAAACGCCATCAAATTTAAATTTGTTTGAATAATAATACAGTCTATAAAAATAACAAGTTCTATTTTCCCATCCAGTTATGTGTCTGTTTATTGTGCAGACGTTATGCCTCATTGAGAACAGATCAATACCGTGAATTTTAATAGGGGGGAATGACCTCATCTTGCAAAAATCGCTAGATGAAAACTATTTAAATATAAATATACGTAGAGTTTGAACTTCAAGATTCAGATTTAAATTCATATTGATAGCCTAGTTACCATTGTACCAAATTGTCTGTATTTTTATCCAGACAAGAAGCAGCAATGGTACTACATGTATAGCGTGATGGCGATCCTCATCTCCGCCAACATCTGCATCTTCGTGTACACCTCCGTAATACTCTGGCGGCACAAGTTCTCTTCCACGCACCTCAAGGCGTACAGATACAGGTCAGTACACAATCTACTTAACACCTTAAATGCCACCGATATACATTAAGTGCATTTTGCAAGAATGTGGTACTAATTTTTCGACTTGTTTCAGATTTGGCGTTATCGTAAAATCGTTTATTATAATGGGAATTCCTTGGATATTTGAGATGATAAGTTCACTGATAGAAGCAAACATTGTATGGTACGTATATTTACTTTTTATACTATAAGAAAAAGTTATTTCTTACAATATTTGATTTGGCAAGATAACAAGAAAAGTAATATATAATAGGGAGTGCGAAAAATATTTACACTTAGCAGTTCTTTTCAAAAATAGAATTGATGGTCTGTGATCAGGAGTTGCTTACATTTCGTTGTTGTAGGGTGATAATGGACTTAGTAAACGCGATGCAAGGTCCGCTTATCTTCCTTGTGCTGGTGGTGCTGCGGAAACGTGTGGTGAAGGCGCTGCTGCGGCGCGGCGTGTTCTGCTGCCTCGCGCCACACGTGGAGCGCTATCTCGCACTCGCAGACGACGAAGAGGATGTCATACAACACACCATGGATTTGACCATGGACGAGAAAAATGCCAACCTATCCTAACACGGAAAGAGCTGATGTCTCAAGATTTTTATAAAGTTACTGTTTACCAAACAAGAGCAGCATACTATTATTGTAACTCGCATTTTTAGCTATTTAACTTTTCTCGCTATCGATTCTAGTCCTTACCAATATTATAAATGCGAAAATTCGTATGGATGACAGATGGATGGATGTTTGTTAGAGTTTGTAGCCTAAACCGCTGAACGGATCTCAATGAAGGCACACATGTTGATTATAGTCTGCAAGAACATTTAGGTTACTTAATTTTTTTTAATCCGGACAGAGTTAAGGGCGATAGCAAGTCTTTAGTAATTTCCTGAACTGAAAAATTTATTTATTTATTTATTACTTTTTATTTATTTATTTGTTAACAGCCAATCAGCACATGTGCTGATCTTCCGTGGCCATTGAAAATAGATGGCACTAATACATTTTACGCACAATGATGTTTTTATAACATGTAAGTTACTTATATGATTGCATGATTGTGTACCCCTGTACCATTCTAGTAGGTACATAAAGTTCCCAGTGGCATTGACAGTATTAACTTTAAAAAGAATAACTAAATCAATTAATCGTTAGTAACAAGGATAAGTTTAGTTATAAAGAAATGTATTTAATATTTTTTACGTTATTATTGTCCTTTGAAAACTGTTTATTGTATTACTAGTGTATTTTTCTATAAACTTTTCTATAAAATGAAATTGTGTATTTTTTAATCCTATGATAGTTCTTTAAGCTTTTGAATTGTCTGTTAAGTGTTGAAAATCATGCGTTCGTATTCAACACTTTGTTGAAAAACATTTTGTCGTCCATCTGAGACTGTTTATAAAGAAAAAAAGATAACATTGCAAATACCTATGATTAAACTATCGCACGACCGTTTAGGCTCGCTTTGATTCCTATAAGCTTGTATGAAGATGCGCACACTACTCCATTTTTACTTGTGCAAACAGTTGAATTGGCTGCGAAACAATCGACAATCCCATAGTGACATAGTTTAGTCAAAGGTGTATTAATTCAATAGTCGATTTTGTCAGAAACTAGACAAAGAATTTAAAACAAGTTTCCGTCAAGTTTTCGATGATTATTTTAATATCAAGTTTGAACGACATTTAAAACAAATAACGTTTGCTAAGAGGTTTAAAATTCTAAACTAGTTTCGCCATCAAGCAATTCGCGTGTTATAGCAAAACAAAACATATACTTATCTCTGTCTTACAAAAGTAAATGACTGGGATGACAATTTTTTTTTTATACACACATTTGGCAGTAGGAACTGAAGGTTGAAAGTCCACATCAAAAATTAATTCTAATTAAAAATTAGTTATGAGTCAACCGTTACAGCTATAACGAAGAAATAAAAGACAAATTCATCATTAAAGAGTATATTACAATCAAGTGATCTTAAATCTAGAACAATATGGTTTAAATTCACTATAACTCCGATGTTGTTAGGGGGTTTAGTAAAATGGGGTAATGTCGCGTTAGTTGTCTGGCATATCTTCAATTTCATTGACAATGTCTGTGGGCGTAAAGGTGTTTGCGGGGGGTTCGGCGGGCGCGGTGGGTGCGGCGGACGCAGGGGGCGCGCCTGGTGCGGGGGGCGCGGCGGCGGGCGGGCCCGGCGAGCGCGGGCGGGCGGCGCTCTCGCTGCCCGGAGGGACCCAGTCGCCCTCCTGAATGATAAAACTATTTCTTGTCATCTGACTCCACGGGGGACAGAACAGGGTGACGGTTGGGAATAATTCGGGATACTGAAGTGTCAGCCGTGGGTTCGAATCCCGGTAGTCGACTATTGTCATGACAAATATTATAGCATTTCCCAACTGTGGAATGGTTACAAGAAATATTAGGAAAGTGACAAAAAATTTCTATTATTTTTTCATTTAAAAACTGTGTATTTGTGTATTTTGTAATGTAAAAAGTGTAGTTATCGAGGTACTGACCGCGTGTTGTTGGCCGGTGCGCAGACGCACGATGTCGAGGTACATGTCGTAGACGTAGCGCGCCATGTGCGGCATGTCGCGCACGCGCCGCACGCGCGCCTCCGCCACGGCCGCGCCCGCGCCGCGCTGCGCCGGGAACGTCTCGCCCGCCACCAGCTCCAGCTGCAGCGGCCGCTCCACCAGCTGCCGGGTAACCGAGCTTAGCACAAACCTTCTTCATATCTCTTCTTATAATTAAGAAAAAATAACCATACACTAGTAAAGATAGACCTAGAAAGAGATGGATTGATTGCGTGAAAGGTGACATGATCAAGTAGAGAGCGATGACTGATATGATGGATGATACAGAGAGAGATAGAGATAATGGATGCAGTCATCTGAAGGACCTGTTATTGAGGAAAACCTGTTATGGGAGGAGGGATGGGGGGTTAAAGATAAATAAAAATTGTGCTGAATTCTGTGCGGCGTTCGACAACATCAATCGTTGCACTTTGCTAAAAAACTAAAAATTTCCAACCGAAAAATATTACCGTTACAATGTTTCAATCTTGATTAACATCTTAAACATATTAACATAGTGGTAAATAAGCTAAAGAAACTGAATAATGTATTCTTTGATGGGTGTACCTCAAGGATCTAATATGGGATCAGTTTCATACGAGTGTAAAGTGTGTGAGTGTGGGACCTGGTTGAATGTGGGCTGCAGCTCGAAGCAGTTGCGGAAGAGGTCTGCGCGCGCGAAGATGTAGAGTCCGAGGCGCGCGCGCGAGGCGGCCACGACGAGACGGCGCAGGTCGCGCACGTGGCCCACCGCGCGCGTGCGCACCAGCGACACCAGCGCCACGTCGTTCTGCTGCCCTTGGTACTTGTCCACTGTCGTCACCTGCATGATGGGGAGAGTGTCAACACAAAGGAATGGACGAAGTAATTTGTAGAGGGTTAAGAAAGTACGTGCGGTTCCGAAACCGGTCAAACCGCATGACCCTCTTACGAATTGACCCGTACGACTTGAGGGTCGACGGGACCATGGGTGGTGGTGGACTGAATCGTGTCGTCACCTGCAGACACCCTCAGTGTTTAAACTTAACTTTAACTAAGTCTAAGTCTAAGAATTAGACAATTTTAAACCAATAAGGCTAATCGCGTTGTCGATCACGTATAAAAATAATAAAACTGGTGTTAGATTCTTATATTTGCGTTGCCGATAACGTAAAGTGTTAAAGCCGAGATTGTTCCATATAATATCGGAAACGACTGAACAATTCGTCCAGGTTTTCAAGGGAACGTATTTTTACACGCGGGAGCAAAAGACTATTTTTTTAAATTCTGCGGTGACAAAGTCACGGGTATTCACTAGTCATAATTGTGTTAAGTAAAAGTTTAGTGAAGATAATTTGATTACACTTGCGTCTTTGCTGAAATACATTGGAATCTGTTAACTGCTGCGTAAATGTATGAAATAAATATAAGAATGTGACTTAGAGGGACCTTGTGCGGCCTGCCGATGAGCGGGTTGGCGGCGCAGCGCTTGTCGACGACGTCTCGTATGAGGTGCTTCTGTCCGTTGTATGTGGTCAGTATGGAGATGCGCTCGGCCGGCCAGCCCACCAGCCGCATGTACATGAACACTGCCACTACGTACTCCGCCTCCGCTAAGTTCTAATGATAAAATACTTTATTGTTATAATTTACGATATTTAAAACACTACATAAAATTCCGCTCAGTTCTAAACACATTAAAATGTATAATTTACGATCCAAAATCTTAAGACAACACAACAAAACCTTCTTTTTCCTCTTTTTGTTTCTCTCATTTTTTTGTTATTTATTGTTCGTACATCGTTTAAAAGTATGTAAACTAAATAGCATTAGGGCGCCCTTGAACTAGCGCTATTTTTACTCGTAACTCTTTAGTATTAACAGAACTGAAATATTCGGAATTTGAAATTCTAATTCTAACATTAATTTAGCATAAAGTTACAAAAACAGTTTTTTACTTAGTTAAGATATTTAATATGTTGTACGAATTAAAATTTTATGATAAGATAACTGCCCTTATCTTGCTTTTTTTTAAGATTTTGGTCCCTGATCACTACATTTCAGGATGCGAGGAATAAACACTAGCGAAAATCGTTCAAATGAGTAATACTTATTCCAAAATTAATGATAATGCGTTTTGAATAATTGTTTCAGTCGAAAACTCACAGTTTTACTACGAAGATGTACAACATCTGAATCAACATTGAATTAATACTAATATACAAAGGCAGGTGTCATACTTGATGCTGGAGCGAATACTAAAACATCCGTATTACATCTATCAAACATTGAAACTCAAAACACACCAATTTACGATATTCCTCTAAAAAAATGGTACACGTTTCGCATGTGTCAACCATTTTGGTCTCTTAAAGTCGCCATTTACGGCCGGGACAGCTAAAACTGTACGCAAAGAAGTGCTGTTTCATTTAAAACAGTCTATTTCAAACAATACAAAGCTCTAATAGCCTAATGGTTTGGAGTACGGACTACCGATCTTGAGGTCGAGGGTTCGAATCCTGCTATTCGACTATCTTAGCATAGAATGGTTAAAGGGAATATTAGTAAATCAACAAAAATCTACTGATATTTTCATAAAAAGAAATAAAAAAACCTGATAGAAGTATGGGCTGGGTTCCGTCTCTCCGGCGCCGTTGAAGTCAGCAACATCGATGAGCTGGAAGTCGTGCCTGAGGCCGGCGTTGGCCGCGCGGTACTCCGGCAGCCGCAGCACGTGGCCCAGGTCGCCCAGCGCGCGGTACCGCCACCGGTACAGGTTGCAAATACTGCGCACAACAACATACAAAACAACGCTATACATGATTCAGATTTAGATGAAATTTGGCATTGATATAGAAGATAGTCTAGAAGAACAGGCTACTTACTTTTGTTTTATTTACAATTCCACGCAGACGAAATCGTGGGCGAAAACTAGTATAAATATGATTCTTTTGCATGCAATATGACTTATCAAAACTAATATATCTAACTATAAATTATAAGTAGTTATGTAAAAAAAAAAATATCTCCCAAATTAATTTTTCATTTACGACATAAACTCAATCTATTTAACCGCAAAAAAATTAAACACAACGAATTGGTTCTGATAAGGAAAACATAACAATAAATTGTGGTAATGAAACAGTTTATTATAAGAAATACAAATACTTCAATGAGTGCTGTTTATAGTACTCGTATAAGAAAAAATATCTTAGTTGTCTTCAAATACATCATTTTCGATCAAATAAAGTTTATTTATAAAGATTTATTGAGTATATTTCGAGCGATTTTTATTGTCACAATTTTTTTTGTGTTATAGCGAGTGTTGGACGCGATAAATTTAAACATCAAGGAATAAGTGCCTATTTCCACTGAGCGTATTGCGGATATTTCTACAGCGTCATTTCGTACAGCAATAGAGAGTCGTGCGACCACTCGCTAAGTGGAAATTGGATTAAATTTAAGTATTCTGAGCTCGCGTAACTTGGGAATTTTAAGGAAAATGTTATATTTCTAATTGCAGCCTCGTTTTTAAAAGATAACAATAACTAAAGCAATAGAAATAACGCCATAGCGAGTTCGTTTTAGTCATCAATTTACTATGAATTTACATGTATTAGGATTTGTCCCACAAAATTGTAAATCGATAACAATCCAACATGTAAAATATATGATGGAAATATCGGATTTTGTTACCTTCCGACAGTGACGTCATTTTTAAGCTATCTGAGCCTCTATCAGCTAGTGGTGGGACAGGCCCTAAAAATGTTAAATTAAAACGGTTGTGTTTTTATTCGGTACTGGCATTATATCACTTTCCCTCTATCTATTTGCGAATGAATTATTAGGACAGTTATTTTTTCATCCACTTTTAAAGAGAAGGGACCAAAGGGTCCATTTGCCAATACAACCTATGAAAAAATTCTTAGAAGTGTTATATTTCTCTAAGATTAACCCTTTACGTTACACATTACCTTGGTCTCGCACGTCCCTGGGCATCCAGCTCCACATATGGAACACCGAGCCTCACCATCCTGGTGAAGAGGCTCTGCTCCATGTTGCAGTACTTCTGGAAGGCCATATTCTTGACGACGGGCGGCAGCTGGTGGTGGTCTCCGATCATGATCCACCGCTTCAGCCGCGACCTGCCATCCTGAGGGTTCTGCAGCAGCAGGGGAATGAACGTCTCTATCTCCAGGATCTGAGCTGATTCCTCCATAAGAATGTTGTCGTATTTGAAACCTGGTAGACAAAATATAAATTAGCTTTCGCCTGCGAATTATAAAAAAAAAAACAAAAGCATGAAACCTGTTTTCCTACCTAGTTCTTCCAGACTACATCTATGCCAAATTTCATCGAAATCCGTTTAGTATTTTAGGTTACAAATTCTAACAAACATCCATCCATGCATCGATCCATACATCCATCCATCTAAACTTTTGCATTTATAACATTAGTAAGTTATAACAATTCTTTTTTTTTAATTCAATAATAAAGTTACCAACAAATTAAATTAAAAAAAATCCTGCAAATACATAAAAATAATTCTTATTACAAACAAAACACATTTTTGAAAATGTCTAGGCCGTATATTAGTTTTTCAGGATATTTTATCAATAATAATTTGCCTATTTTTGTATCGGTAAGAAGTAACGTTAATTTTCTTATATTAAAACTGAACATGACACAAACATATTAATTAAAATGTGGCTTTTCCTAAAGACATATCACCATATATGGTACTGCCGACATAAAAGGAATCATATGAATTAAATATAGTCTTGAATGTGTATGGGTAAGGGTTAATATTGACGGAAAAGCGGTACTGATTAAAGGAAAACGGTATTGTAAATTCTATTGCGTTTGTTCTGACGTTGTGTAAATCTTCATACTAAGTTATTTCGAGATAATCTTGTACATGTCCTGGGTTGAATTTTTTAGATTTAGCATACTTTTACAAAGGCGGAGATCTGTAAATTCATTCTAGAAAGTTTGACTGGTTTAATTGATCACAGAATATTACTAGCGTTTGCCATGTGTGTTTACTTATAAAGGTAAAACTGTTTTTTTTATTGAATTCCACTAATTTAACTTTAAACAATAAATAAAAAAAAAAATTCTATAAAGTAATATGTCTAAGTTCGTCAGTTAATATCTCACACATATTATAGCGAAAATGTTGGTTGGATGTATGGATGTTTGTAGAGTTTAGACTAAACTGCTGGAAGGATCTGGATGAAATTTTAAACAAAGAAGTCGAAAATAGTCTGGAAGACCACATAGGCTGCTTACTAAGTTTTTCAATCTCGCGCAGACGGAGTCGAGGGCTATACGTAAATGTTTTCAAGTACAATAGAACCTCAATAACTCAAACCTCGGTAACTTAAAATCCTATATAACTTCAAAAAATAATATGTTCCCTTCCCATCAGAGCCCAAAACCTCTACAACATAGACTCTTGATAACTTAAAACCTCTATAACTTAAAATATTTTATGTTTCCCTTGGACTTCAACTTATCGAGGTTACTGTACTTCTATTAAATAGTGAATACGGTATCTTGATTAAAAAAAGGTATAAAGATTGCTTATAAGGTTATAAACTATATTATTGAAAAAATCATACCCATTTGTACTAATTCTGATCGTTTGAGCGCGGCGTGCGTGCAAGTCATCGCGATAATTTTAGCTTCTTTCACCAACAAATACTTAGATCGATCCAAACCAGAGCGCAGTAATTCAAACGCGCGGAACTCCTCCAACTCTTCGAATATGTGATCTATGTACCTGAGAATAGAGTTACATTTACCATACACATTCGACACAGTTTATATTAACAATTGATTATTTAAAACTACCTGTAGCAACTCCGAGCGATCTCCATATCTTCGTCATAACATTTTCCCGGGAACAGAGGTTTGGGCGCGTCCTCAAAGAACTCGTGGAACGGAAACTCTTTGCTAATTGTTTCCACTGATTTCGTCTAAAATAATAAGAATTAACACAATACGATCAGAAAAATAACATCAGATATTACGTAATACTAAGAATTATTTTTAGAGGTATAACTGGTACTTTTTTCTCATATACCAGTAATGTAATCAATGTACACAATAATAACTTTGCTTCCTTAATGTTGGCAGCTTGTAGTTTATGGTCCCTTTCCTACATGAGGCTTTTAACCAATTTATTTACCCCCTAAGTTTAACAGCGTAAAAAATATAAAGCCTATAGCATGACGTAAGTGTAGGGTTTTTTTTATTAAAGCAAGAATTATTCAAAAATATGCTGTGATTACTGACATCCTACGCCACAAAGTAGTGTGTGTTTACGCTTTATTATATTGGTATAGACGTATGAAAGTATAGAAGAATGGAAGTATGGAAGTATAGAAGAATGGAAGTATGGAAGTATAGAAGAATGGAAGTATTGAAGTATAGAAGAATAGACAAGGTAAGTGACCTTATCGTGTGCGCAGATGAGCAGGAAGTCGTCCCAGCGCGGGCGCACGTGGTAGACGTAGAAGTGGTGCGCCAGCTCGCACGTGGCGCCCGCCTCGCCGCCCGCGTGCAGCGCGCGCTGCAGCCGCGCCGCCTGCTCCAGCAGCTCCAGCCGCTTCGCCAGCACGTAGTTCACGCGCCCGTATCTGTACCGAACACACGTCACCACAGATCTCGCTATCGCCCAATGGGAAAAACTCCCATTGGCTTAGGCCAATCGACATAATGGGAAACACGCGAGGGTCTCAAAGCCTACTAGAGTTGGCTTGCAACCACGCTAGCTTAGTGCGGATTGAACTTTAAATATGCAGGTTGCATCACGTTCAAATCTTACTAATATTATATATGCGAAAGTTTCAATGGACGGAATGATGTTCGTCAAAGTTTGCAGCCTAAAATAATGAACTGATCTGAATGAAATTTCCTATAAACGTTGAGGATAGTCTGGAAGTACACATAGGCTACTTAGTTTTTTTTTTAATTCCACACGGACAGAATCGCGGTCGAAATCTAATGTATATATAATTCAAAAATCTAAAACACATTGACACAAGCCAGAGATCAAAACTTGAATATTACACGGTCCATCTACTCCGTGGAGGTATTTCTAGAATCTCCGAGGAACTAAGATGATTCTGCTCTATTCGACCAATGTAGCAAGAGCTTTACCTCGAGAAGTCCTTGTCGGTATGCAGCGCCTCCTCGCCGTGTCCCAGACGCAGCAGGTGGCGCTCGTCCACGTCCAGCGCGGCCACCTTCTCGAACAGCTGGTTGAGCGCCTGGTTGCTGTGCGTCACCACCAGCGTGCGCTGCCACGGGAAGTTGTGGTACAGGTTCGATATTATCTGGACCGCCACGTCCGTTTTACCTACAATTAAAAGAACATAAAGTTTGCCAACCAACCACCCAACTTCAAATGTACAATCGTATAAATCCGCGGTGTTCCACTTTAGGAAAAATTGCCTTCATTGCAACGAGACAAACCCGTCACAAATAATTAATTAGATAGCGGAGAATGGTGCAAACGAAGGGATAAAAATAGAAAGTAGCCGTGTATCTCTAATCGACTTTTTTCCGTAGATACATTTGTAAGCTGCGTATTGGTTTTTGTTCCGCGTCTCTTTACAAAATGGTTAAACGATTGTGGCTTCTAGGGGTGACAGCGCCAGTTTCCCCGACTGTACAACCAGTAACTTATTTTTAATACTAATCTTGTTGTTAAAAGTGAAAATGTATATAATTATGTACAATACCTGTCCCGGGGGGTCCAACGACGAGCGTCAACCCTGGCTGCATGCCCGAGCGGATGGCTTCCACTTGCGTTGGTGTGAACAGAATATTATTCCTGTTCAACAATTATAACAATATAGAACATTTACAGAAATATTATTGTATATTCAGTCTTTTATGATATTTCGTAACCCCCTTTCCTCCCAACGCAACTCAACAGCAATAGAAAAATAAATTCTTCGAAAATTAAAAATACAAACACGTTGTGTTTTTCTGTTGTTTATGTCTAATTGTGATTGATTTTAAATTTGGTACCTTTGACGCCTTGATTGACGGACCTTCACAAAGTATAGGTTCGACTACCTTATTGAATTCCAAACCTTGTTTATGGTAACTTCAAAGGAATAAACTGACTAATCCAAAGCTAGATACACAAATTCTAAAAGGAACTAAATAATTGCCTATTGTTCCTTAATTGGATTGAAACAAAACAGTTTTTAGCAATCTATTTGGAGCGGGCGTACACCTTTGATTAAACTATCGCACCACTATTGTGCAGCCAATTCAACTGTTTAGTTGCAATACTAAAAATCGAGTAGTGTGCGCACCTCCATATAAGCTGATAGGAATCAAAGCGAGACTAAACAATTGTGCGATAGTTTAGTCAAAGACGCACTCTTACTATCTAAAACAAATCCAATAACAATAGCTGAATTTTAATGTTTTATTTCCATGTATCATTATTTTTAAATCTCTTTTTAGTGCGTTGAACGCCATTCAATTCCCGAATTAAAGTGACCTTGCAAAGCGAATAAGTGGCGATGACCGTGTGAAATTATTTCAACGTTATGTCATGTGAACAACACACTCAGTGTCAACATGTGACGTCATTACAAAATCAATGTTATATAATATTTTATGTTAACTTGAGTAATAAGGTAAATTCTTTTAAAAACAAATTTTATCGACATTCAACCAACGACACATTGCAATCTATTTTTTACTTACGCCCACGGGCCAGTTAAGTTAGTGAGACTATAAGTTTCTGAATTCAACGTGGTTTACTATTTACGAACCGTAACAATGTATTCATCTTAGTTTATAATATTGCGACATGGGTGTTTTACAAAGTGTTAGTCTACTAGGTGTTCCCTTCCTGTTTCATCCGTATGAAATTATAAAACCTTTATTTTATTGTTTATATTTATGAAATTTTCAATTGCCAACATTGAAATACGTATGACGGTATTTTTAATTATTTACTCCCTAAGTTTAATGGCGTGAAAATATATAACCTAAAGCGTGTCGTAAGTGTAGGGCTTTTATTAATTATAGCTGTTCCCATGCGGCTTAATCCGCATTAAATTATAAAGAATTATTGTATACATTTGTCAAATTATCAATTGCTAATGTCAAAATGACATGACATGACAAACCTTGACAATCTTGTTTCCTTAATTTTGGCAGCAACTTATGGTATCTTTCCCACATTAGGGTTTTTATCCAAAATATTTACCCCCTAAGTTTAATGGCGTGAAAATATATAGCCTAAAGCGTGACGTAAGTGTAGGGCTTTTTAAAAAAAACGAATTATTAATAATATGCTGTAATTGCTGACATCTTAGGCAACAAAGAAGTGTGTGTTTATACAAAAATGTTTATACCAATTGTATTCATGGTTTAAAATAATAAAAAGTTATTAATTATATATTAATATTTTCTTAATGAAATAAGGGTCATTGACTACTTTAATAGATTAATGAATCTCAATGATAGATACTTTTAGAAAACTATAAATTTTGTTGGTTTTTATCTATTATACTCTGTAATTTATCAATCTATACTAATAATTGTAAAGAAGAAAGATTTATACTTTTGTGTGTATACACTACTGGGACAATTTTAATTTTCTTTCACCATACGAAAGGTAAATGATGAGAACATTGAGTAACATAGGATATATTTTTTAAATTCACGTGGACGAAGTCGCGAGAAACACTTAGTCCATTATAATGTTATGACGAAGTGTTAGTTTTGTTTCAGAAAACGACTGTTTGTGTTCGTAGTGACTTACTTCTTTGGTTCATTGTATAGATAAGGTCCACGTTTAGGCTGCACGTGGGGCTCCACCACAATCACCTTCTGCGAGTCCTCGTCTTCATCCATGGAGTTCTCACCACGCTTCTCTTTCCGCAACACATTCTCGAACGTCACTCTAACAAAGAAAAATAGATTAAGTAATGACCTCCTTCTTTGGGAAATCAGTTAGAAATATTATTAGAGCGTGCTCACCACTTGACATTAAACTATCGCACAACTGTTTTGTCTTGCTTTGATTCCTATGAGCTTATATGGAGCGCCCAGTACTAGATTTGTGGTTGTGCAACTAAACAGTTCAATAAGTGAAACAATCGACAATCGCACAACAGTTGTGCGATAGTTTAGTCAAAGGTGTGCGCGCGCACTTAAAATTTTAGAAATTTACGTAAAGTGGCATACATTAATTTCTGCGTGAATACCTGACCTCCATAAATAGATATGATATTTTATGGTAAATTCATTTGCGCCATTTCATCGCGTTTGGTGGCCGTGGTGAGAATTCGAAGTGTTTAATAAAGTCAACAAGTTCGTGTGACCAATGTCCTATCCATTTATAGGGATCAGAATAATACACAGTATCTTGTATTTCAAAGTACTCTAAAATAACTGATTTCAGAAATCGTAACGTATCGTAACGTAATCGTATGGTTTTGTACGATTTCAAAAGTCGTACAAAACCATAATTAAATGCTTTGCCGAATGAGTTAAATTACAAATTACATTTTACTAAAATAATTTTAAGAACAGGTTATACAAGTAAATTTATTAAAAAAAAAGTCATTTGTTAGACATCAATACTTTTTTAAACGAGGAAAAAATCCTAGAAATAATCTGGTCATACAACATAGATTTATGATGCGGTAACGCCAGACATTTTTTGCAGGATAACTGCGTTGCCGTAAATACATTGCGTGGTTTACACTTCGCCAGTACAGTTGGAGAGTTTGCAGTCATAAATTGTATAGATTCACTGGCACTTGCGTTTACATTATGCCAGTGAATTATCCAGTCCAACTGAGCGCTACTGACCAACTGTACTGGCAAGGTGCGAACCGCACATATTTTTGTATATTTATTAGCGCTGTTACCAACCGCCACATCTAGCGCTAATAGATGAGGTAATACTAAGCCGAAAAGTGCGAGCATTTTTACATACGATAAGGAAAATGGGCGGCAATAATTTGTACGTTATATTTTAACAATGCGTCTACGCCCACTGTTAATTTATTTCAGGAAATTGGACTCCATACTCATTACCAAAAAAAAAATAAGATAAGTGTTATTTTTTTTTACAATTATTTTATAAAAATCAGATAAAAACATCAATAAACTAATTCTAGTTAGAGTTAAGACTAGATTAAGTTTTAAATCTTTACAAATGTGGAAATATTATTAAGTAAATGCTCAATATCGACCTATTTTAAGTAACTTTGTTAAGTTCTACACTTATATGATTTCTAGAATAAAAAATACATTGGACGAGTTTCCTCACATATTAATTTCACGTCCTTAACCTCAGGGGTCATGTAACGCTGGTCACTTACTTGAACGGTCGCACCAGTTTCCGCGGGTCGTCCACCTGCACCTTGATCTCGTGTCCGGGGAAGCTGCTGCGAAGGTGGTCCATATCCAGGAAGGTATCATTGAAGTCTAAAGTAGGGATTTCATTTGGCATCCTAAAATAAGAGATTTTTTTTTAATTACTGATATAAATTCAAAAGGTTATATGGATAGATGAATCGCCAAAACTGATAAATGGATATTGTTTAATTTGACAGATGTAGAACACATAGACTTATCACCAAGTTATTTGGTCTATGTATATTTATTTAGTTCATATTTGCGTCACATCAGAACTGTATAAGTGATATTAGGACTGCCTTCCTTTTACATTCCTCCAATCTCTTTTTTATTTTTACTACAAAATTATTTACCCCTAATTTTAATAGCGTGATAATGCAATTTAATAGCCTAAAGCGTAGCGTCAGTGTAGAGCTTTTTATTAAAAAAAGAATCATTCTTAAAAATATGCTGTGATTGCTGACATCCTACGCAACAATATATCATAATGTGTGTTATATATAGTACTAGCTTTCGCCCGAGACTCTGTCCGCGCGGAATTAAAAAAACAAAAGCAAGTAGTCTATGTATTCTTCCGGACTATCCTCTACATCTATGCCGAATTTAATCGAGGTCCCTTGAGCCGTTTAGGCTGCAAACTCTAACAAACTTCCATTCATCTAAACTTTCGCATTTATAATATTAGTAAGACAGAAAGTATAGATATAAAATAAGTCACAATGGATGCAGAGTATTAAGAAGTAACCTGGTGTAGTGCGCCTGTCCGGGGTCACCGTAGCCGAGCACGATGTCGTGAAGCCAGTCGGGCACCACGCACTCCGTGTTCATCAGCTCCCTGATCGTCTCCAACACCGCCTTGAAGTTGTTCTCCTTCGGCTTGCGCCGCATCACTATGTTGAAGGTTTCGTACACGTCCTAATCATAATGAGAGGTTAGACATCTATTCCCTTCATATTAGGAACAATAACAAACATTAACTACCCCACTCATAGCCATTTAAACGTTAACTCCCCTTCTATCCTAATACGAGTATTATAAAGAGGAGAGATTTGTGTTTTTGTATGTATTGAAATAACTCAAAAACTACTAGGCCGATTTTAAGAATTCTTTCACTATTAAAAAGCTACGTTATCAGTAATTAACAAAGTTTATAGTTTTTCTTATTTTAATCAAGCGGGCGAAATCGCGAGTAACAGCTAGTTAGCAAATTAACAAATTAACTACTTATTAACGGTATTTTTACCTCTTTTCCTTTGCTAGCACTATCCAAATCCATTCTGTATTGATTAGGATCAAGTAGAAGACGGAATGTTCTGGAATCTCCGTCCAATTCGGGTCTGGGCTCGGGACCTTCTTCAATGACCCTCCCTGATGCATCCAGCATGCCCTCCACTTCACATCCCCTCACGTACACTATGCCCGCCTGGTCCACCATACTCCTTCTGTAGTCGTACTTTGTACCTTTAAAATAATTATGTATATTAAAATATATCCAAATACTATACAAAAAAGGTAAATCCATCTTTAGTAATTATATCTTAGATTTACTCGGAATTCTCATTTCGTTAAAGCATTTCTTATACTCTATTGGCAATTTAATTTACGAGCAATATCTAAAAAATCCTTACCAATGCCTTGAGTAGGCCGTACGGTGATGAGGAAACAAACATCATGTTTCCTAAGGTTTTCCCACTCCTGTTTGATCTCGTTCCTGACGCTAAGGGTGACTGTGACGTCAGCACGCACGCGGGAAGGCGCCTTCTCACCGATGTTAGGCTTAGCGACTTCTACCACCGCGAAACTCTGTATAGGGTGCGCCATACGCGCCCACCCACCGAAGTACACACTATCGTCTTCTGCTCGCCTGGTACATTACAATATGTAGATATTTTTTCAAAGTGAAAAAAGTAGAAAGATTTGGTTTAAATCACACTAGCTGTTCCCATGCGACTTCATCTGCATGAGATTACATTTGTCAAATTCTCAATCGAAAATGTCAAAATTATTCTTACAATTATAACCTTGCTTGCTTAGTTATTTTTAACATAGAACAGATTTTATTGATAATAAATAACTTGCTTTGACGCTGACTATAATCATCCCAAAAAAAAATTTTTTGGTAAATGTATTACAAAATGTTTTTAACATAAATAAACATATTCGAGTCTAAACTTCGACGAAATGGTCATACAAATTAAGAAGAAATTGAATCAATTAATTACAATCAGTTCATTCACGACTAGCAAGTCCCAATTGCACAAATGTGCCAATTTAGTTGGCTTGCGTACTGTCAGTTACATGAAGTTTATTACAGTGCGATTAACTTGTCAGACCCGGTGGGGTAAACTGATGGATCAAACTAAATTTGTCGACTTACTAATGCTCTCCTATCAATGTCAATAAAAGCTTTCGTAATTCTGTGGTATTTATTCTTTTATGTCATTTTTAATGCTTACAGATCTACTTTTTTCTGACACTATACCGCAATAGCAGAGCCTCTTTTATGGATTTGGATAAGCTTCTATTGCTATACTATAAAGTACAATAACTCTGACAACGTCAAAAATTAGGACAAAATCCTTATCAGACTTGCAGTCTTGTCATATCTAGACTTTATGCCTACACGTATTTTGCATATTTTACATGCAAACCGCGATAACAACGCTAATTACCGGGCCAGATAAGTTTGTACGACTACAAATACGCTTTCGTTACGTGATGTAACATGATGCTAACGATAACAGGAAAAAAACGTCATACACGAGAGTAAATTACAATTTTACGATAAGGAAAATCAACAAAGAAAACTAACAAATTATGTTAATATTTGTCAGTTTAAACAGCTATTAGAATTTTCCAAAAAAACAGATAATAGTATATGGTTAAAATTAAGAATGCAATAAAAAAGACATAGTGAAAAATATATTTTGGCTAGACTGTTATGATATCTAGATAAAGCGTCAAAGATATATTGCGTTATAATTTAGGCTAATGTATATGACGTTATCAAAAGTGATAATGTTTACCATGGCGCCAATCTGTACACAGCATCCTCTATGTCTTGTCGGATCTCATCTGGAACAAATAATTACAAGTGAATAATTAGAGAATGTGTTCCTTCATGAAAAAAACACATGTTGAAATAATTATCTGTGTTTTCTTACTTAATATTAAAAAAAGGAAAGATTTGAATTCTTGCATGTATTGAAAAAACTGGAAAAATACCGGGCCGATTTAAATTATTCTTTCTGCACCATAAAGCTACGTTATCTGTGAGTAACTATATTTTTGACCGACTTCCCAAAAGAAGGAGGTATTCAATTCGACCGTATGTTTTTTTTTTTATTTTTTTTTTATGTGTGTTACGGCATAAC